TACGCGGAGTGCCGTCCTTTCACCCTCTGTGACCAATGCACCAAATCCTAACCACAGTCTCCCCAGCCCACTGCAGGCCCTGGACAAAGTACAGAGAATACATATATGGGCACTTGATAGACAGAAACTGTTCCCTGGCCATAGCTGTTTCTCCTGGAACTAACCCTGCCAGTCTTTGCCCAAGCCTGGCATGGAGGGCAAGGGACACTTTTCCTACAGTCAGCCCCCAGGTAGAGGGCATTGGCAAGGGAGCAGGAGGGATGCTGGGCCTTCTCAGCCTTTCTATCCCTGGCCTTCCTGAAGTCAGGTGACCTCCCACCCTATGCCGTGCCTTCATTTTTTCAGCCGCTTTCAGGCCTTCATTTTTTCATCCGACCACATTGTTCATTTGCAAACCTTTACACTGAGTAGGTGTGAAATGCTGAGACAGACAGCAGGAATTCAGAGGTGTATGTGGCTTCCAGTTCCTGTGGGTGCTGCCAAAAGCCCTCAGGTGAATCCAGCCATGCTGTCATGCAGGTAGGCCTCAGAAGAGACTCCTCTAACCCAGTCTTGAGGGCTCCGTGGAAGCTTCCTAGATGAGGTGATATCAAAACTAAGATCTGTGGTTGGGCAAGGTGGCTCGCACTTGTAATCCCAGCACTTTGGGAGGCCAAGGTGGGAGGATTACTTGACGTCAGCGGTTCGAGACCGGACTGGCCAACATGGTGAAACTCCTTTTCTACTAAAAATACAAAAACTAGTCAGGCGTGGTGGCGGGTACCGGTAATCCCAGCTACTTGGGAGGCTGAGGCAGGAGATTCGGTAAAACCTGGGAGGTGGAGGTTGCAGTGAGCTGAGATTGCACCACTGCACTCCAGCCTGTGTGATAGAATGAGACTATCTAAAAAAAAAAGAAAGAAAGAAAGAAACAAAAAACACAAAAAACTAAAGACCTGCAGGGTGGGTATGACTCACCCAGGCAGGGGGCGGAGATGAGAGTTCTAGGCAGAAAAAGAAAAACGCCAATCAATGTGTAACAGTGAGGCATCTAGCGGAATATTCTAGCTAGCTTAAAAATGAGTCTCATGGCTGGGGCCCTGAAAGATGAGAGAACAGAGGAAGCCAGAGCCTGGGAAGTTTGATGAGAAGTTTGGACTTTACCTAGACAGCAAAGATGAGCCATTGAAAAGTTCAGTGTAGAAAGGTCCTTCTAGAAGTAGTGTGGAGAATGGACTGCAGAGATCCAAGGCCAGTGAGGAGGCCGGGGCAACAATCCAGGTGAGATTCAGTGGGGCCTAAAGGTAGGTGGTGGTGGAGGGGTGGAGAACAGTGGAATAAAAGCTTCCACGCACTCCTTAAGTGGTGAGGCTCCTGGATTTCCCAATGGAGGCTTCGAGATCCATCTAAGTTATTGTATGTGTCTGTGGTTCATTCCTTTTTTTGAGAGTAGAATTCCATTGTATGGATATACCACAGTTTGTTTGTTCATTCATTCACCTATTGAAGAATATCTGGGTTTGTTCCAGTTGTAGGACATTAAAAATAAAGCCTCTCTGAACATTTGTGTACAGGTTTCTTTTTTTTCTTTTTTTTTTTTTGAGACAGAGTTTCGTTCTTGTTACCCAGGCTGGAGTGCAATGGCGCGATCTCGGCTCACCGCAACCTCCGCCTCCTGGGTTCAAGCAATTCTCCTGCCTCAGCCTCCTGAGTAGCTGGGATGACAGGCATGCGCCATCATGCCCAGCTAATTTTTTGTATTTTTAGTAGAGACGGGGTTTCACCATGTTGACCAGGATGGTCTCGATCTCTTGAGCTTGTGATCCGCCCGCCTCGGCCTCCCAAAGTGCTGGGATTACAGGCGTGAGCCACCGTGCCCGGCCTTTTTTTTTTTTTTTTTTTTTTCCGTGAGAGGAGGTCTTACTCCGTTGCCCAGGCTGGATTGAAGTGGTACAATCTCAGCTCACTGCAACCTCCACTTCCCTGGTTCAAGTGATTCTCCTGCCTCAGCCTCCCAAGTAGCTAGGATTACAGGCACCTGCCACCACGCCCAGCTAATTTTTATGTTTTTCATGGAGACGGGGGTTTCACCTTGTTGGCCAGGCTGATCTTGAACTCCTGACTCCAAGTGATCCACCTGCCTCGGCCTCCCAAAATGCTGGGATTACAGGCATGCTGCGCCCGGCCTCACGTAGAGGTTTCTGTGTGAACACAAATTTTTATTTCTGTAGCGTAAATACCCAACAGCACAATTGCTGGGTTGTATGTTGAATTTTGTAAGAAACTGCCAAATTGATTCCCAGAGAGTCTGTACCATGTTACCTTGCCACTAGCGACATACAATAGATCCAGTTGCTCCACATTCACACGAGCACTCAGTATTATGACTTTTAAACAATTTTAGCCATTCTAATAGGTGTATAGTTAGTATTTAATTGTTGCTTCAATTTGCATTTCCTTAATGTCTAATAATGCTGAACATCTTTTTTTCTCTCTCTTTTCTTTTTTTCTTTTTCTTTTTTTTTTTTTTTTTTTTTTTTTTTGAGACAGGGTGTTGCTCTGTGGTCCAGGTTGGGGTGCAGTAGTGCAGTCATAGCTCCCTGCAGCTCAACCTCCTGGGCTCAAGTGATCCTTCCAGCTCAGCCTCCTGAGTAGCTGGGACTACAGGTGCATGCCACCACACCCAACTGATTTTTGCCTTTTGAACGTATTTTCATGTGCAATTTGCTATTTGAGTATCTTCTTTGGTGAAGTGGTGAAGTAGTGAAGTTCAAGGAGCTGACATTTTTGTGGTTTAAAAATGTGCCAAGGCAGGCTGGGTGTGGTGGCTCATGCCTGTAATCCCAGCACTTTGGGAGGTCGAGGTAGGTGGGTCATCTGAGGTCAGGAGTTTGAGACCAGCCTGGCCAACATAGTGAAACCCCGTCTCTACTAAAAAAAAAAAAAAAAATAGCCGGGTCTGGTGGTGGGCACCTGTAATGTCAGCTACTTAGGAGGCTCAGGCAGGAAAATTGCTTGAACCCAGGAGGCGGAAGTTGTGGTGAGCTGAAATTGCACCACTGCACTCCAGCCTAGGTGAAAAAGTGAGATTCTGTTTAAAAAAAAAACAAATACCAAGTCATCCACATATCTATTCCTAACTTCTTCCCTTAGCTTTCGATTCACTTTCAAATGTCCCCCTGGCATCTGCATGGGTGTCCCACACCACTGCAATCTCAGCATGTCAGAGCCAAAACTACCATCCCCCTCATAGGTCCTCCCCAGTGGAAAAACTAACATTTAGAAGTTTTATTATGGGCTGAACACTCAATTTTTTAGGGTCTTGTCACTGCGTGAACATCATAGAGTGTACTTATACAAACCTAGACAGTATTGCCTACTACACACCTTGGCTGTATGGTATAGCCTGTTGCTCCTAGGCTAAAACCTGCACAGCATCTGACTATACTGAATACTGTAGGCCAGGCGTCCCCAAACTTTTTACACAGGGGGCCAGTTCACTTTCCCTCAGACCGTTGGAGGGCCGCCACATACTGTGCTCCTCTCACTGACCACCAATGAAAGAGGTGCCCCTTCCTGAAGTGCAGCGGGGAGCCAGATAAATGGCCTCAGGGGGCCGCGTGCGGCCCGTGAGCCGTAATTTGGGGATGCCTGCTGTAAGAAATTATTATAATACCATGATGAGCATGTGTGTATCTAAACGCAGCTAAACATAGAAAAGGTACAGTAGCCGGGCGTGGTGGCTCACGCCTGTAATCCAAGCACTTTGGAGGCCAAGGCGGGCAGATCACCTGAGGTCGGGAGTTCAAGACCAGCCTGACCAACATGGTGAAACCCTGTCTTTAAAAAAAAAAAAAAAAAGGATTTAATAAATAAAAAAGAAAAGGTACAGTAAAAATATAGTATGATAATTATGGGACTACCATCATATAAGCAATCTGTCATTGACCAAAACATCATCATATAACACACGACTGTATTTGATTAATTTCATCCTCACAACAGTTCTATACAGGAAGTACTCTTTTTTTTTTTTTTTTTTTTTTGAGACAGAGTTTCACTCTTGTTACCCAGGCTGGAGTGCAATGGCGCGATCTCGGCTCACTGCAACCTCCGCCTCCTGGGTTCAGGCAATTCTCCTGCCTCAGCCTCCTGAGTAGCTGGGATTACAGGCACGTGCCACCATGCCCAGCTAATTTTTTGTATTTTTAGTAGAGATGGGGTTTCACCATGTTGACCAGGATGGTCTCGATCTCTCGACCTCGTGATCCACCCGCCTCAGCCTCCCAAAGTGCTGGGATTACAGGCTTGAGCCACCGCGCCCGGCAGGAAGTACTCTTATTACTTCCATTTTAAACTTGAGAAAATGAGACACAGCAAGGCTGAGTACCTCTCCCAAGCTTGCACAGTTGGCAAGTATCTGGTAAGACCATCCTGCCCACCTGAGAATCATCCTTGAGCTCCTATCTTTCTTACCTCCCCATGTCTAATTACGGCCTGGAGATTTTACCTCTAGAATATTTTGATCCATTGTCTCTTCTTTCCTCCTGTCTTTATGACTACTGCTCATCATCTTTTCTCTGGCCTAGACCATTATACCTTTTTTGTTTCTTTAGTCTTCCATGATAGAAACTTTCAAACACAAAAGGAGAGCGAATCGTACAATGAATATGTCCATTGCCTAGCCACAACCAATATAAACTCATGGCCGTTCATATGATTTTCACCCTCTACTTCGTTCACTCCCTGCCACCATTCAACTGAGTATTTTTTTGTCTTTTAAAGAAATTCTTTTAGCCTTTTGTTCACTGACACAGTGGTAAAAGAAAATTACAGAAAAGTAAATGTAAAAGAACACTGCAATTAATTGTATGCATTTATCTTACATGTCAGTGAAAAATCACCAACTATTATAAAAACAGGACAAATTATATGATGAAGCAAAAATTAGAAAAAAATTCATAAAACACATATGCAACTATGAAAGTATGGCTCTCTTGGTGTCTTCACATCCTTCTCTTCTATGTACTGATGTATTTTCCTTGGATAAATACATCCCCATACTTTTTTTTTTTGAGACAGAGTCTCTCTCTGTCACCCAGGCTGGAGGCTGGAGTGCAGTGGTGCGATCTCAGCTCACTGCGACCTCCACCTCCCAGGGTCAAGCGATTCTCCTGTCTCAGCCTCTTGAGTAGCGGGGACCACAGATGTGCGCCACCACACCCAGACAATTTTTTTTTTTTTTTTTTTTTTTTTTAGTACAGAAAGGGTTTCACCATGTTGGCCAGGCTGGTCTCAAACTCCTGACTTCAGGTGATCTGCCCACCTCAGCCTCCCAAAGTGCTAGGACTAGAGGTGTGAGCCACTGTGCCAATCCTCCCATACTTATTCTTCAGTTGTCCATTTACATATTCTTCTGTTGACTCCAAGGCTGTATTTATGTAGCCATTCTGGGAAAGCCAGGACCCTCGATAATCTACTCTAGAATTTAATTTGACCACAGCTGGCTGTCTGAAGATTTGCTTTAAGAAATTACTAAGGGTTTGCTTCTGAAGACTCATTTTAAGAATCCTGGGCCGGGCGCGGTGGCTCAAGCCTGTAATCCCAGCACTTTGGGAGGCCGAGGTGGGTGGATCACGAGGTCGAGAGATCGAGACCATCCTGGTCAACATGGTGAAACCCCGTCTCTACTAAAAATACAAAAAAACTAGCTGGGCATGGTGGCGCGTGCCTGTAATCCCAGCTACTCAGGAGGCTGAGGCAGGAGAATTGCCTGAGCCCAGGAGGCGGAGGTTGCGGTGAGCCGAGATCGTGCCATTGCACTCCAGCCTGGGTAACAAGAGCGAAACTCCGTCTCAAAAAAAAAAAAGAATCCTAAATCCCACAAGTGGGATCCAGAACCCTCACTCCAGGTGCCCCACAAGCCCAACTGAGTATTTTGATGCAAATCTCAGACATCATAGTAATTCATCCATACATATTTCAGTATGCATCTTTATTTTGTTTAGTTTTGTTTTGTTTATTGAGACAGAGTCTCACTCTGTCACCCAGTCTAGAGTGCAGTGATGCAATCTCGGCTCACTACAACCTCTGCTCCCAGGTTCAAGCGATTCTCCTGCCTCAGCCTCCTGAGTAGCTGGGACTATAGGTACCCACCACCATGCTTGGCTCGTTTTTGTATTTTTAGTAGAGACAGGATTTCACCATGTTGGCCAGGCTGGTCTCAAACTCCTGACCTCGTGATCTGCCTACCTCATCCTCCCAAAGTGCTGGGATTACCAGCATGAGCCACTGTGCTTGGCCAATATGCATCTTTAAAAGATAACTTTTGAAGAACACAATCATAACATTATTAGAATGATTCATTAATAATATTTCTTTATCATCTAGTCAGTGTTGGAGTTGTTCTCTATTGCTGTGTAACGCAGTGGTTTAAAACAACAGTAAGGCCGGGCGCGGTGGCTCAAGCCTGTAATCCCAGCATTTTGGGAGGCCAAGGGGGGGTGGATCACAAGGTCAAGAGATCGAGACCATCCTGGTCAACATGATGAAACCCCGCCTCTACTAAAAATACAAAAAAATTAGCTGGGCATGGTGGCGCGTGCCTGTAATCCCAGCTACTCAGGAGGTTGAGGTAGGAGAATTGCCTGAACCCAGGAGGCGGAGGTTGCGGTGAGCCGCAATCGCACCATTGCACTCCAGCCTGGGTAACAAGAGCGAAACTCCTTCTCAAAAAACAACAACAGCCGGGCGCGGTGGCTCAAGCCTATAATCCCAGCACTTTGGGAGGCCGAGGTGGGTAGATCACGAGGTCGAGAGATCGAGACCATCCTGGTCAACATGGTGAAACCCCGTCTCTACTAAAAGTACAAAAAACTAGCTGGGCATGGTGGTGCATGCCTGTAATCCCAGCTACTTAGGAGGCTGAGGCAGGAGAATTGCCTGAGCCCAGGAGGCGGAGGTTGTAGTGAGCCGAGATCGCGCCATTGCACTCCAGCCTGGGTAACAAGAGCGAAACTCTGTCTCAAAAAAAAAAAAAAAAAATCAAAAAACAACAACAACAACAACAATAAATGTATTATTGCTCACAGTTTCTGTGGGCCAGGCATTAGATGGTGAGGCAGTTCCAGCTCGGTATCTCATGAGACTGCAGTCACCTGAAAGTTTGAAACTGCAGGATCTGCTTTCATTGGTGGCTCCTGCCCACTGGCTGGCAAGTCAGTGCTGGCTGTGGGCAGGGGGCTCCAATCTTCACTTTGAGGCTCTCCACAGGGTGGCTTGAACAGCCTCTATAGCATCCAGCCCCACAGGGTCCTGTGAGCCCCTCTCTACAGATGGAGATGAGAAACTGTGGAAATAAAAGACACAAGACACCAAGAAAGAGAAAACAGAGTTTGGGCCCAGGGGTCCACGGCCAACCAAAGTTCAGAGTCTGGCAGTGGCCCCGAGTGCCTGGAGGCTCTGACTTGTATTGAGTAGGAAGCAGCAGGCAGGATAGGTAGGACCAGGCATTGGTGGTCAGTGATAGGGTCAAGTCAATCACATCTTGGAGATAGGGGGCCAGGACTTTCAAGCAGCCAAGGCGAAGAGAAAACTCGTTAGCACTTTTTTCATGCTTGTCAAGAAATAGCAAGGACATTAATATTTATGTTACTATTACTAATTCTTATCTTGTAAGAAAAACAGGTGCAGAAGCAGAACATGAAAATAGATATGGAACGTGGCCACTGAAACACAGTACCACGTAGAGAAAATTAAGCCCCCGAATGTCTGTGGGAGAGCTTGGAGGGGCAGAGTTTTCTCCTCACTCCCCATTGAAAGGAGACATCTCAGACATCTTAGATGTCTCCTTCCCTAGCTGGCTAAACAGTGGGCGCTTTCCCAGTGCCGGTGCTGCCGCACAGCCAAGGCACCCTCCAGCAGCCCGTATGCGGGGTGTGACAGGGGGCTTAGAGCATCTTGCTTTAGGGTCACCTCCTTCCCAATGCCACTTCAGTTTCACACTTCATGACCTGAGAATCAGTAGTAAAATTAGAAGGTTATATTGAGTATATGTATTTCTGTGATTACATATAAATAACTATGTGATTATTTATGATTATAGGAATAACTATGTAACTATAACTCTAATTTTTTTCTAGTTCCATATTTATATGGGAACAGGCTGAAGCTTCAGACTCTCCCCTCAGCCCTTGCGGAGTCTCCCATGGGGTCTCCCCCCAACAGGCCTCAGAACCTGTATTTTGTTTTCCCCAGAGCAAGTGATCGAAGGAGCCAAGGAGGAAGCTGCAATGCCTCTGAAGATCTGGCCTCGGAAGCCACACACACTTCTGCGGTATTCTGTTGGTCATGCATGCCAGCCTGCTTCAATGTGGAGAACTCTGCCAGGGCACGCCAAGGTAAGCATCCTTGGGGTCATCTTGGAGAATGTGAATCGGGGTTCAAATTGCCCCAATTGTTTCCCTTTTTCTTTTCCTTTTCCACTTGGGTTTTTTGGTTTTTGTTTTTGTTTTTTGTTTTTTGTTTTTTGTTTTTTTGAGACGGAGTTTCGCTCTTGTTACCCAGGCTGGAGTGCAATGGCGCGATCTCGGCTCACCACAACCTCCGCCTCCTGGGTTCAGGCAATTCTCCTGCCTCAGCCTCCTGAGTAGCTGGGATTACAGGCACGCACCACCATGCCCAGCTACTTTTTTGTATTTATTAGTAGAGACGGGGTTTCACCATGTTGACAAGGATGGTCTCGATCTCTTGACCTCGTGATCCACCCGCCTCGGCCTCCCAAAGTGCTGGGATTACAGGCTTGAGCCACCGCGCCCGGCCTGGTTTTTGTTTTTTGAGACGAAGTCTCACTTTGTCACCCAGGCTGGAGTGCAGTTGTGTAATCTCGGCTCACTACAACCTCTGCCTCCCAGGTTCAAGCGATTCTCCTGCCTCAGCCTCCTGAGTAGGTGGGATTACATGGTGCCCACCACCATACCCAGCTACTTTTTGTATTTTTAGTAGAGATGGAGTTTCACCATGTTGGTCGGGCTGATCTCAAACTCCTGCCCTCAAGTGATCCACCCACTTTGGCCACCCAAAATGCTGGGATTACAAGTGTGAACTACCGCACCCAGCTTCACCTGGTTTATTTGAATCAGGAATCAAAGAAGATCACATCATTGATTGCATTTTGTTGATGTGGCTCATGAGTCTCTTAACGTCTAGGTTTCCTTTCCTCTCTTTTTGGATGTATTCTTTGCCACAGTTTTTGAAAAAAGAAACCAGTTGTTTGAACTTAAAGTTTTCTTTTTATTATGAATTGACAGATAAAACCATATATATGTCCAACATCTTTTGAAGTGTATACACATTGTGACATGACCAAATCTAGTGAACTGATATATGTATTATTACTTCATATAGAACTTTAACATGATTGACATTCAATTTTTTTCCCCCAGGCTGTAGTACAGTGATGTGATTACGGCTTACTGCAGCCTTAACCTTGCAGGCTCAATTGATCCTCCCACCTCAGCCTCCCAAGTAGCTGAGACCACAGGTGTATTTTTGTATTTTTTGTAAAAATGCCCAAACTGGTCTCAAACTCCTGGACTCAAGCAATTCGCCCACTTCAGCCTCCCAAAGTGCTGGAATTACAGGTGTGAGCCATTGTGCCCACCCCAGATTCAATTTTTCTGAATTGAAAACTTCATTGGTAGGCCAGGTGCGGTGGCTCACCCTGTAATCCCAGCACTTTGGGAGGCCAAGGTGGTCAGATCACTTGAGGTAAGAAGTTTGAGACCAGCCTGGCCAATATGGTGAAACCCCATCTCCATCAAAAATACAAAAAATTCAACAAAAAGGACGTCCATAAAAAAGAAAAAAAATACAAGAAATTAGCTGGGCGTGGTGGCAGGTGCTTTATAATCCCAGCTACTTGGGAGGCTGAGGCAGGAGAATTGCTTAAACCTGGGGGGCGGAGGCTGTAGTGAACCAAAATCACGGCACTGCAACTCCAGCCTGGACAACAGAGTGAGCGATCTCAAAACAAACCAACAGGCTTCATTTGTAGTATTGTTTACTTCCATCAGGAGGTATGTGATGTCAGGTTGTCTGTCTTAATATGATGTTAGTGGCCATTCTCATGACCTAGTTCATTATTTCATCAGAGGTTTGATGCAATAGTGCCTCATACCAGGTCTTCAGTAACTGTTGACTCACCCTCTCCATTTCCTACTAGTCTCCTCCAACTTTCCAAGTCAGCAAAAACCTGTTTTTGCAGCTCCTTGCATTCCCTGTGCTGGAACTACTTGTCTTTTCTTGTGTTAATCCCTTGACTGGAAATATCCACTCCCACTGCCTTTCTTAATCTCTTCACTTGCCTCACTTTGACTTAACCTTTGAGATTTACTTAGCTGAAATGTCATCTCCAAAGCACTTTCTCTGACCGACCAGACCAGGCTGTGTCTCCTGCTGTTGTCTCATGGCCCGCTATGCTTAACCCCTGTTTACAGATAACATTCATATGTGGCTCTCCAGCGCTGCTCAGTGGTGAAGGACTACAAACTAGGAGTCTTCT